GGTGCTGGGGATTTGAACCGCCAAACTGCCAATCTTTCTGATCCGCAAGCTCAGCGTCTTAGCCACTGAGCCATCGTGTCCCCAGTTTCAAAATATTTAGTTATAAATAAAAAATACTATTAAAAAAAGAAAACACCCAAGAGCAACATGGACTGATTCTCTAGCATCCACTTCATGGTTATCTCCATGATGAACAAGAAAGAGTAAAAAAAAAAAAAGAATCAAATCAAATAACCCTTGCTCAATAGTAGTAAGTATGAGATGGATCTTGGAATCCTAGTGGACAACCATTTAAATATGAGCCAGCCATGTACAGCATGGCTGGCTGCCAAAAAAGCCAACACAGTTCTACGCTGCATAAACAGAGGGATAGAATCAAGATCAGGTGAAGTGTTGATACCACTTTATAATGCCTTGGTAAGGCCACACTTGGAGTACTGCATTCAGTTTTGGTCGCCACGANAGGAGAAGGAGAGGAGAAGGAAGAAGAGTAGGAGGAGGAGTAGGGGGAGGAGAAGGAGGAGGAGGAGAAGGAGGAGGAGGAGGAAAAAGAAAAGGAGAAGGAGGAGGAGGGGAAGGAGGAGGAGAAGAAGGAGGAGGAGAAGGAGGAGGTGGAGAAGGAGGAGGAGAAGAAGAAGGAGGAGGAGAAGGAGGAGGTGGAGAAGGAGGAGGAGAAGGAGAAGGGGGAGGAAGGAAGAAGAGTAGGAGGAAGAGGAGGAAGAGGAGGAGAAGAAGGAGAAGGAGGAGAAGAAGGAGGAGGAGAAGGAGGAGGAAGAGGAGGAGGAGGCAGCTGTTCTGGGTTGCCATTTTGGACTCCACGCCTCACGTTTTCAGCCTCCAAAAGTTCTGATTGCCAGCAAAATACACAATACGCAGATCGGCGGCGATGTGCTCTGGCAATCCAGCAGCCTTGAACGGGTCTCAAACGGGGCGTTTGAAGGGTGAAAATGCAAGGCATGGAGTCCAAAAATGCAAGCCTTTGTCTGTGACAATCTCTGTAGCAAGGAAGAGGGTGCACGGAGGCCAAAGGGTGGGCACTGGCAAGTGGGCGGGGCTACATTCGAAGTACACCACACAGCCAAATTTTCAGCCTCTTTTTTTGGGGGGGGAGTGTGTCTTATACTCCAAATGTATCTATCTATGGTATCTGTCTGTCTATCTGTCTATTATCTATTTGTCTGTCTGTCTGTCTATTATTTATCTATCTATCTATCTATCCATCCATCCATCCATCCATCCATCCATCCATCCATCCATCCAGTGGTGGGTTTCAAAATATTTTAGAACCTCTTCTGTAGGTGCGGCCTGCTTTGTAAAAATGTGGTGAAACTCACTTAACAATGCTCTTGCTTAGCAACCAAAATGTTGGCTCAGAAACTCTGGCATTTGAAGCATGCAAGTCTTAAAGCTNTAACCCCAACCAGACTTCCGGTCGGCTCCAGAATTGAAGGTGGGGGGGGGCTTCTAGTTACGACCTTTGTGGCTCTTTGAGTGTTTAAGGTTGCTGACTCCTGGCTTAGCCGAATGCTTTACACCGGTATTTACTTGTTGGGGTTATGCTACAATAGCATAACAATCTTTTATGGGTCAGGGGTTAGAAGAAGGGATATTAAGAAGCGTGATGCTGGCAATGACCCAACGTAGGTAGGATTGCCTACATCTGCGGATAGAGTCAAGATTTTTTAGGACTGCCTAAATCTATGGCTACAGCTAAGATTTTTTTTTTTTTAAAAAAAATTCTGGACAGGGACAGAATTCATTGTCCTAAAAACATATAGCAATCCATTTTACAGCTTGAATTACAATTCGTGAATTTTTCTTTCCCAACGGTGGCAAGGACACATTTTCTCTAAACACACTGTGTAAAGTCGGTGAATCAGCTGAACAAAGGGGCTTTAGAAACCTCTTGATTGGCCCACTTTTACACAAACAAACAAAACTGGGAAGAAAACAGACTACAATCATCAGATGCAACAAAATACACATTTCACTTATTGCTGTTTGGATTTTATGAGCTACAGCAGGAGTGTCAAACTTGATTTCATTGAGGGCCGCATCAGGGTTGTGTTTGACCTCAGGGGGCTGAGGTGGGTGTGGCCAGCTTGACGTCACTTGTGTCGGAGGTGCCTGTGATGACCCGAGTGCTCTGCCAGTGAAAAAGGGCTCTCGATTTCCATTTTTGGCTGGGATGGCCTCCTGCAACCCTCTGCCAACGAAAATTGCTGGCTCAGGCACCGTGGGCTGGTCCCTTTGCTGTTTCCAGGTCAGCCCCGTGGGCCAGATTTAAGCACCCCACGGGCTGGATCTGGCCCACAGGCCTTGACTTTGACACCCCTGAGCTACAGCATGACTTCTACATTTGCTTCAACTAACCAGGAAAGCCTGCTTCTATCTTCCTGTCTTTTAGAGTGGGGCAAGCTGATTCCTAGAGAAGGATCTTTTTGGTGGTTATCCTCTGATGTGGAATCCCTTACTATAGCGGTTCTTCATTTCTTACTTTGTAAGGGAAAATAAAAATACTAGAGCAGGATAAGTAAGCTGCAGTGTCCAGATGTTAATTCTCTATATAAAATTTTCTGGTTAATAACTTTCATAATTTGAAGATGTATTTTAAGTGCTATTAATGACTAATATAAAGAAAAAAGCTGATGTTAAAAAATGAATAGGTTCCAGAATCTGAAACCTTCAATTTATATAACTTCAGAAGATGCTAGTCACATAGCACAGAACATCTAGTAACATCTTCAAGAAGAGAAACTTTTTTCTTTTTCTTTCTCCTTCCTTCCTCCCTCCTCCCTCCCTTCCTTCTGTTCTGACCTGGGCTTCCCAAAGGCATGAAGCAAACTCCTTGTCCTTACAAAAAACCCCTTTATTAATTTACTGTTCTACTCCTTCACATACAGCAAAGTCTTTCAAGGGAGGATTTATAGACACAGACTTTATCTGGCTTGGAGAGCTGACAGGATGATATTTGGAGAACTTGGCAAGGAGTCTTGGAGAGTCACGAAACAATTAAGCGAACTAATTGTCTCCTGCAAACTCCATTCTCCTTTTGCTCCTCTTTTATTTCCTCTGGGAGGGACCATTCATCATCCACCTGTGGCCTTACTGGTTCTTTAGCTGTTCCCTTCGTCTGGCAACTCTGTGCATGTGCACACTGGGAACAGGCTCCAGTTGTTCGGCTACCTCACTGATGTCTGACTCTGAAGGTAGCTGATAACTGTCAGATGGCCCTGGCCCCATCTCTGCCTCTGACCCAGAGCTTCAACAGAGCCTTTCCCAGACTCCAGGACTGGCCCATATTCCTCTCCAACTTCCTCATGGTCCAAAACTGCTGCCACCTTTGCTGGTGGGTCACAACACCTTCTTTCTCTCTCGCTATCCCTCCTTCCTCTTTCCTTGCTTCCTTTTCCTTTCTTTTTTTTTTCAACTTGCAGATTTCAGTATTCTATATTCTATGTCCAATAATAAATGCTATATGTGGCTGGCACTTCTTATCTGCAGAATTCTTGCCCGCCTTGAAGGAAAGACATGGGAAATGAAAGATATCTGTTTGAGTAGTTTGAAAAGGCAAGGAAAAACTTGGTAGTTGTCAGGGATCTTTACTCAGAACCAAAGGAGGTTATCTGGGATAATCCTGACAAGTCTGTCTTCTGATAAATGCACGTTTTGTGAACAGACCAGCAATCCTTCCTGCAGCAGGCATTTGTGAGTATGGCCAGGATGAGGTGTCAAAATTCCAGATGAGCTCACTAAATATTCCAAAACACGGCTCTGCTCCTGCTCTTGCTATGTTCCTTTGATGCTGGTAAACATTATCCTAATCTAAAATAACCATGAAACTTAGTAACCTGTGCATGGTTTAAAAAGAAAAAAAAATCGGCTTAAAATCTGAAACCTGGAAGCAGAGCAATCCAAGAGACTTCAATTGTGCCATGACCTTTTCTCCCTTTGCCACAATAAAATTATTGTTATGTGTTAGAATATTCATGACTGGGAGAGATGTGATAACAAGGTCAGCCAATGAATAGGCATAGCAAGAAGGTCAGCCAATGGGAGCTGAAACAGCTAGGGGCCAGGATATGGTTTAGCCTGCAACCTTCTGAGTCTGTGCAAAGAATTGAAACAGAAACTTAAGATTCTGTCTGCTCTGAACTCTGAAATGAAACTAACTGTTCTCTTCTACTTGTGTTCTGCTTGTAACTTCTACCACGTTGAAAGAATCTACTATTGGTATTGTACATTTATTCTGTTATTATGTATATAAAGAAGTTAATGAGTTCAGCTGAATCAGTTACCTGTGTGTGCTTTCTGGATTTGATTTTTCTGCAACAAACTCTGACACACCCAATATTTATTACCACTGATCACACAGGAAATTGGAGTTATTTAGCAATGCCTGATGGACTACGGATTCCCATCCTATCATACATCTTATCTATCATATCCTATAATTGTCAGACCTGGAAGTCAACTTTTACATTGGTCCTTCAGGCCTGCCACATTTTCTACTGTGGGAAAATGGGAGGTGAGGTTATATGGAGTATGGGTGATATATAGTCTAAATAACATTCCTTTCTCAGAGAGTCAAGGACACCTTGCCCTGCAGCTGCGATGATGTGACTCAGAGGCATCTTTAGTTTTGGATGGTGCCTGATTGGGCCATGTGATGGATATGTTGGTGATAGGCAGGGATGTGAACTTGAGTGGGGAAAACCTGGAAACTTTCAGATTCGGGTTTTCCCAGATGTACCAATATGCCATATCTAAGAAAATGGAAGTTTGAGGAAACTCAAGCTTCGGAGTCTTCTTTCATTGGGGGTGTTACTTGGAACCCTGACATTAACCCGAATCTTCTTTAAAAACTCTACCAGCTCCCTGAACTCTGGGGTGCTGTCCGTGATCCTGAGCCCCAAATGTTGACCCGAACCTGGGTGGCGCGAAAACTCAGGGAAGATGGAGGAAGAAAAGAAATGACAATAATATTATCATATGCAGTGATGGATATGGAACCTCTTCTGTAGGTGTGGCCTGTTTTCCGGGTCCACGGGTGGAACCTCTTCTAATCGGTTCGGTAGATTTGACGAACTGGTTCTACCGAATAGGTGCGAACTAGTAGGAACGCACCTCTGATCATATGCTATGATAAATCTTATAATCTGTGACTATGGCTATTGACTATGCTGTTTGTGTGTGTTATGTTCGCCCACATAACACCTATCCTCCGCGAGCTGCGCTGGCTACCTGTTGATCTCCGGGTGCGCTTCAAGGTGCTACTTACCATCCATAAATCTNCCTTGGAGGTCTTCTAGTCCAACCTCCTGCTCAAGAAGGAGACCTTCTACCATTTCACACTGTCCAGTCTCTTCTTAAACACCTCCAGTGATGGAGCACCCACAGCTTCTGTTCCATTGGTGAATCGTCCTCGCTGTCAGGAAGTTTCTCCTCGGTTCCAGGTTGATTAGTTTCCATCCGTTGTTTCTTGTCCTGCCTTCTGGTGCTTTGGGAAATAAGTTGACCTCCTCCTCCTCTGTGGCAGCCCCTCAAATACTGGAATACTGCTGTCATGTCACCCCTGGTCCTTCTTTTCTCCGCCGCCTCCCATGCGCTCCTCTTTCCCGCCCTGCCTACGATCCTGGCACTTTGCCCCAAACCCATCAGGCGCTTCCCTATTGGTCCATCGGAGAGTGAACATCATGACTTTCCAGAGGAAGGAGCTGCGAAGGAACTGATATCACAAACAATTGCCGCTCTAGGACGCTGCACTCGCTCTCCTTAACGGTCCAGGCATTCCAGAGTTATTCTGGAACACACGCACACCGACACCCCCTCCCCAGGGGTGTCTTTCTCTTCCCCCCCCGCCCGCCAGTATTTGTTTCTGGAGGGTAAGTCATCTGTGTATCGGGTTTGGTTGAAATTGCTGGAGGCATTCCAGAGTTATGCTGGAACATACATACTTAAATACAAGATAGAAGAAGAAGATGAATGAATTAACCCGTAAAAAGTGGAGGAAAGATTGCTGCCATTAGCCGGGTTTTGATTTAACCTAACATCTTGTCTTTTTTCATGTCAAGCTTTCAGGATTCTCTGCACCACATAAAGTGAGCTCGACTTGTAGCTTAGCCTCCTTAATTAGAATTTAGAATAGGTTTGATTATATCTATCTATCTATCTATCTATCTATCTATCTATCTATCTATCTATCTATCTATCTATCTAATATTTTTTCCCTTTTTTCGGTACTTGCAGATGCGGAGGGACGGTGGGGGCCATCTTCACCTGCCCTTTGGAAGTGATCAAGACAAGATTGCAGTCCTCAAGGTTGGCCTTCCGGGCTGTCTATTATCCGCAGGTTCATCTGGGCACACTCAGCGGCGAAGGCGTGGTCCGGCCTACCTCTCTGCCTCCAGGTGTCGTCCAGGTGCTGAAGTGAGTGAGTCTTAAAAATGGGGTCTTTGCGTATATCTAAAGATTTTATTGGGCTCAGGGGCTAAGGCACTGAGCTTGTCGATCAGAAAGGTCGGCGATTTGGCGGTTCAAATCCCTAGCGCCGTGTAACGGAGGGAGCTCCCGTGACTTGTCCCCAGCTTCTGCCAACCTAGCAATTCGAAAGCACGTGAAAATGCAAGTAGAAAAATAGGAACCACCTTTGGTGGGAAGGGAACAGCGATCCGTGCGCCTTCAGGAGTTGAGTCACGCCAGCCACGTGACTATGGAGACATCTTGGGACAGCGCTGGCTCTTTGGCTTTGAAACAGAGATGAGCAGCGCCCCCTAGAATCGGGAACGACTAGCACATATGTGCAAAGGGAACCTTTACCTTATTAGATACTTAGTCCCTTTATGATATTTTTCTGGTATAATACCCAACAGAAATATTTCTGGTTTTAAATCTAGGGAGTTGGGGAGGTTTTTTTAAGACACGCCGGCCGATGCTCACAGCTTTGAAGGCTGAAGACCGTCCTTGGTTCCTTCTCGGTGCAATTTTTTTAAAGAGAGGGAACATGCTCAGGAAAAGGCATCTATCCATGCCAGGGGAGGAGAAAAAAAAGCTTGCTTGGCGTTTTAAAAATACCCCCCTACGCACACACCTTGGCAGTGATCTCTGCTGAGTCCGCATGCATTATGTAAGCGCAGAGGGGGCTGGAGAGAGAGAGAGAGAGAGGGTGGTTGGTGGTGGTGGTGGATGGGGATAAATAAATCTGAATAAAAGCAAGTTTTGTTTTTGTTTTTAAAAAGCCACCGCTGCCAATTTAGCAGAAGAGGCCAAGCTGACGCAGCCTCCTGGCCCGCTCCCCTTTTAAATCTCTCCTTTCCCACGGAAAATGGGACTTAAAAAGTCTTGTAAAGAACTTGTCAAGACAATGCGGGGTTTGTGTTTTTCCTCAGGAACCACAATTATTCCCCTTTCCAGCAAGTGGGGTGTCTTGGAAACGCAGATTAAAACAGAACCTGAATTCTTAAGGGGTCCGATTTTGGAGTTTGACGCACCGCAGCCTGGCGTCTTTGCTTAAATACGGCGTGAAATCTGGCCAGTATTTTTCCAGTTGAAAAAAATAAAGGCAAAAGGAAGATAATTCGACCAGGAAAAAACTCCGTTGTTGTAGCCGGGATAAAATTTACTACCGTGTGGCTTTTTATCCCTCGTTATTTCATGCCTTTGTTTAATTGCTTCGAGTAGATCTGCTGAAATTTCTCCTTTTCTCTCCCTACTTCCTTTCTTTTTTTCATATATATATTTAATTTTTAATTTTTTATTAACAAACATGTAAAACACACACACAAAACCTAGACGTACACCACATTTACACAATACAATACGAACAGCAGCTTCCTGTTCTTTCTAATAGCAATTATCAATCGATCCCGCTCTCCTTATATTATTTCCCCTTCT